TTTTTTTTTCCTTTAAAAAAAAAAAAACCTGCATATTTAAGACCAGATGGACAACAAATACTCCAAAGCATGGATGAGAAATTTAGGGAGTACTGAATCTAAGGTAGTGGGTGTGAAACAACTAGAACAGAAATAACAAGGATTTTGACACGATGTGAAGGACGTAGCCAATGTCACTGAACGTTATGTGTAGAAATTGTGGAATGGAAATGTGTTTTGCTGTGAACGTTATCACTAAAAACAAAATACAGTATTACAATACATTAAAAACATCTACCAGCTGATTTGCTCTGAATGTTTAGCATGATGTGGTTGGTTCTTGAATTTGACTGACATTTATATGATTTGCTAAGGCGTGTGGGATACAAGGTAGATACAAGGTTGAGTGGCTGCAGCATACCTCTTACAATAAGTCAGCCTTGTTGGGCGCCCAGCCCTCATTCTTGGGAGAAATGTATATACCTCAGTGAACACTTTTTGGCACTCAGTAGAAAGACCTAGGAAAGACACCTGTAGTTTGGCAGGGATCTAGCTGTGTTTACTCTGATAGCCTACCAGAACTGGGTCAAGTGGAATGTGTTGATCACTGAGCTACTTCTCGTGAGTTTTAATGTAAACCCAGCCTCTCACTGCCTCTGTCTGGAAGTAAAGGCCCCCATGTCCCCCATCACGTGAAATATTCTCATTGTTGAGTCAAATCTTCTCGCATCCAATTTCTTAGGTAAAAATGACAGGATCTGGTTAATGACATGCATATTGCCTTGTTTTCTAGATGTAGAGATTTACTCCCCATGGTTTCTCTCTCAGAGCTGAACAGATGGCCAGTGTTCAGAATGCCCAGCGAGACAACGCTGGGGACAGGGCAGATTTCTGGAGAATGCGCGGTCAGCGGTCCGGAGTGAAAAAGAACCTGAGGAAGAGTCGAGAGGACCTCACAGCTGCCGTGTCGATCAGCACTAAGTTCCCAGCTTACGAGAGAGTTTTGCTGAGAGAAGGTGAGCCATGAGGCCAGGAGATGGATCCAACTGGACTCTTGAGTGTGTCTGCCTTCATTTTCCAACTATAACTGTCAGGTTCTAACTTATCTGCATCACCTAGGCCAATGTCAGGCTTTAGAAATGGAATCATAAAGTCAAGCAAGAAAAGAGACTTCAAAAGTGTGAGCTGTCAAAACTCTGCAATGGAGACTTACTTCCACAACCGAAAACTTTTTTTGACACCATTGTTCAAAAATTTCTATATATTACTGATAGCAAAGTTTATTTTAAAAATTGGCCAGAGGAATCAAGGAGTATTCAGAAAAGAGCTGGACTGAATTGAGGATGGGGTGACACAGTTTTTTTGTCATTAGTTGCATTATGATCAAAGGCTGATACAAGGCTCCTCAATATCTTAAATGTAGAACTACCCTTGTCTCTAGTTGTCACCATGTTGATTCTGACTCACGGGGACCCTGTGTACAGGGCAGAACTGCTCCGAGGGTTTTCAAGGTTATGATCTTTTGGAGCAGATCATCAAGACTTTCTCCCAACGCACTTCTGGATGGGTTTGAACTCTTAGCCTTTAGGTTAGTAGTTGAGCACTTAACTGTTTGCTCTACCCAGGAACTCCTTGGAATGAGCATATGACCTGGCACTTCCAATCCTGAGTATATACTAGAGGAATTGAAAACAAGTGTTCAAACAAAAACATGAACGTTCATAGCAGCACTAAGAACAATAGCCAAAAAGTAGAAACAACCTAAATATTCCTGAGCTGGTGAATGGCTAAACAACCTGTCATTGATCCATATAAGAGAATATTATTCAGCCATAAAAAGATACGAAGTACTGATACATGCTATAACATGGATGAACCTTGAGAACCTTATACTAAGTGAAAGAACCCAGACACAAAAGACCACATATTGTATGATCCTATTTATAAGAAATATGGAGAATAGATAAATCCAGAGAAATATAAAGCAAATTACTGGTTGCAAGGCACTAGCGGGGGTAGGAGAGAGGAATGGGAAGTGATTGCTTGAGTATGGTATTTCCTTTAGGGGTGATAAGAGGCTCTGGAAATAGATAGTGATGGTTGTACAACATGTGAATGCACGAAATGGCATTAATGGCAAATTTTATGCTATGTGTATTTTACCACAAGGAGCTCTGGTGGTGTAGTGGTTAAGGCATTTGGCTGCTAACCAAAAGGTCAGTGGTTCAAACCCACCAGCCGCTTAGTGGAAGAAAGATGGGGCAGTCTGCTTTTGTAAAGATTTTACAGCCTTGGTAACTGCTAAAACGACAAGGAGGCCACATGTTCTGACCTCCTCTAACCCTACAAGGGGAAGGCAGGATTACCAGGAGTAACCCAAGGCCTATTACTGCAAGACCAAACATGCTGCCTCCCTCCAGCCCTTTCACCAATCGTTCCTCCCAAAGCACCCACCACCTCTCTCCTGGGTTCGATAATTCGCTGCAGTGGCCACACAGAACTCACAGATTACAGGGTTTATTAGGGAAGCACCAGGCTACAACTCAAGTTCAGGAAGAACGCTCAGTCTCTCTCCCAGCCCAACATCCCTCAGCCAAAAGTCTCTCACAGTCTCTTTCCCAGCAGTGCTGGTCCCTCGGTGTCTCACTCAGCAATGCGTGTCTCTCGCGTCTCTTTCCCAGCAGCACGTGTCTCTTTCAGGGGCGCGTGTCTCTTTCAGCAGCACATCTTCCTCCACCAGCAGTCAGAGAGAGAGTTCTGCCTCCAGGAGGCCTCCTTTTGAGCCCTGAAGGGTGGTCAAACTAGCCAATCACAGCATCAGAACTCTAAGCACGTGAGAGAGAGTGGGCACCTCCCAGAACATTGTATTGTGCCACTCCCAACAGAAATAACCCAGGTGGATAGCCTCAGCAATCAGGGGCTGCTCAGTTGCTCATACAAAATCCCACCTTGGAGTTTACAAAGGCTTATGGGTAGAAAAGCCACACTAAGTAATTTACTACACCGCAGTAACCCAGTGATGGTCTCTGAGAGTCAAAATCGACTTGATGATAGTGAGTTTAGTTTGAGTTTTAGTATTTGGCTGCAATTAAAAAAACCCTGTTAAAAAAAGTTTGCCTTCTATTTTTACAGAAAATATAGGCAAATATATGTGTTTTAATGGCATTTCTTCTCTCATTTCAGCTGGTTTCAAGAGACCTGTGGTCTTATTTGGCCCCATAGCCGATATAGCAATGGAAAAGTTGGCAAATGAGTCACCTGACTTGTTTCAAACTGCTAGTAAGTCTGTCACTGATTTTTTTTCCTCTCCTAAATTTTTATTTTGAATAATGAACATGCGCAAACCATTTACCTTGAGTCACTGGCTATTAACATTTTGCCATTTATGGTTTCTCTTTCTCCCAACAGACACATACACATATACTGTTTAAAATTTTTGCTGAACTGTTTGACATCACGACATTTTATCCCTGAATCCTTCAGTATGCGTCTCTTCAGAGCAAGGACATTCTCTCACACTATCACAATACTATTATCCCAACCAATAAATTTAACACTGAGACAAAGATATTATTTTGTATACAGTTCATTTTTCAAATTTTCTCAGTTATACCAGTTATATCCTTCATGGCTTTATTTTATTTTCTGTTTTTAAAGTCAATACAACCAAGGACTACACATTGCATTTGACTTTCATGTCTTTCTAGTCCCAACTTTTTTCTCAATTATTCTGTAACATTTATATTTTGAAGCGTCTAAGCCAGTTGTTTCATAGGCTGTTCCTTACTGGACTGGCTTACCTGTTTCCTTATAGTTGGCTTAAAGAGGTCTCATGGTCCTTCTCATTTGTTGGAGCATTTGGTTGTCACTAATTTTTAAAAAATGAATTAGCTCCTTGCTTGTGCTTTTACAGAAACGGAACCAAAAGATGCAGGATCCGAGAAATCCAGTGGGGTGGTGCGTTTAAATACTGTGAGGCAAATTATTGAACAGGTGAGAAAATTCACCCAAAGGCCAAAGGAATTGGGTCATGTTTTTCTGTGGATTTGTTTTTTTAGACTAAAGTCTATATTTTAATAGTCATGAAATATTAAAGATAAAAAATTTATATATACATGAGCTGTTTCATTGTGTGGGAAGCAGTCACGGTTCTGTGCATTGGGTTTTTTAGTGTTCATAGCATTATACCAGATAACCTACTGATTAATTTTATCAGATATTTTAGTGGGGGAAAAAACATAATAACCAAGAGCTGAAATGTGAATAGGAGTTAGCCAGATTTATGGGGAGAGATGGAGAAAGCAGGGTGGGTAGGAGATTATTCTATGCAGAGGAAACAGCCCGGGCAAAGGCACAGACATGAAGGGAGAGAAGGTCAGTACGGGTACAAGGCTGGAGGTAGTCAGAGGTGGAAAATGCCCTGATCATGAAGGGGTTGTAAACCATGGTTTTTCACTTTATCTTAAGAACAGTGAATGGGAAGTCAGGGTGAGAGGTTCATGTTTATGCACTAGAAGATCTCTCTGATGTTGTGCAAAGGAAAGAAGGGCAAGCAAGCTAGACCAAAAAAAAAGAACACGTTTCAGTGTATTGACGATGTTAAAGTGGACGGCATGTGGAGGGGATGGTTTGTGCTCTTTGATTTAAGTGTACAGGTTTATCTGTTGCAGCCTTTACTTACTAAAGCAAACTCTGATTGTCTTTGACTCAACAAAGCCACTGACGTCACTTTTCCCCGTTTGTAACAGGATAAGCACGCACTATTAGATGTGACTCCAAAAGCCGTCGACCTGCTGAATTATACCCAGTGGTTCCCAATTGTGATTTTTTTCAACCCAGACTCTAAACAAGGTGTCAAAACCATGAGACAGAGATTGAATCCAACGTCCAACAAAAGTTCTCGGAAGTTGTATGATCAAGCCAACAAGCTTAAAAAAACATGTGTGCATCTTTTTACAGGTGAGTGAAATTTAGTTTCTTTGCCCAAAAATGAGAAATAAAGAGTTGAAGAATGGAGGAAGCAGGAAAGTAATCTGAATGGTCTCCTGGCAAGTAGCTCATCTAGTTGAGTGAGTTAGAAGGCTGTGTTAGACGCGTGGCTTGTCTATATTGCAAGTTTGATTACTGGAAAATCCATGACATGCAATAATCGGTCATTTTGCTGATATTAAAATTTTTAAGTATGAGCACCTTAAGGCATGTATGTGAGATTGTAAGGCTGGTGAGTGACCCTGGCTTGTGGCCCAGCATGCACATCTCAGGCTAGCCTGGGTCATTGTTCTTTATTTACCATTAATGCATGCAGTCACTTACAAAGACATAGGAACTTTTTATTTTAAAAATGTCCCAATAATAGAGGGAAGGACACAGGGAAGAGGTGGCTATAGGGAGGAAGTGGGAGGAGAGCTGTTGCATTGTGGGAGATTTTAGTCAATGTCATGACACAGAGTATATGTGAACTGCTATATGGAAGATGAATTTGCTCTCTAAACTTTCCTCTAAATCACAATAAAATTTAAAAAAAAAAAGCAATTGCAAAACATTTGCAATCTGTGGAATGCAACAACATTGGAGAACTTTTAATAACCTAATCCCTCACTGATGTTACCAGAACTCTACATCACACTGACAACCAAATGCCAAGTGGTTATTATGCCAAAATAAAATTAAGAATTAAAAAAAATAAGAAGTCCTGTGAATTTTGAACACTAATTAGATATTGGATGATATTAAGGTTTTATTAGGAGCTCTGGTAGCATAGCGCCTAAGACTCTTGCCTGCTAATCAGAAGGCCAGCGGTTCAAACCCACCAGCCACTCCTGGGAAGGAAGCTTGGGCAATGTATTTCCGTAGTGATACTGCCTCGGACACCCAAGGAGGGGTCGCTATGAGTCGGGGCCGACTCGACGGCACAAAGCAACAACAACAACAAGGTTTTATTATTCCTGCTTTTAGCTATGATAATAATATTGTGTTCATGTTAAAAAGAAAAAGGAGTGCTCACTTTGGCAGCACACATACTAAAATTGGAACGATACAGAGAAGATTAGCATGGCCCCTGCGCAAGGATGACACACAAATTTGTGGAGCGTTTCGTATTTTTAAAGTATATGTGAACTGCTGTATGGAAAGTGAATTTGCTCTGTAAATCTTCACCCAAATCACAATTAAAAAAAAAGAAAAAGGAGGTGCTGTCTTTTAGGGGTACATACTAAAATATTTCTGAATAACCTAATATGTCTGGGATTTGTTTAAATCATCTGTAGTGAGGGAGTGGATAAGAGTAGGTAAAACAAAGTCGACCAAGGGTTGGTCGTTGTTGAAGTTGGATGATGTATACTTGGGAGTGTGTTAAACTGTGCTCTCAACTTTTGTGTATTTACTGATGTTTAAAATTTTCTGTAATAGAATATTTTTTTAAAGTCCCTGAAATGAAGATGCATTGCTGCTGTTAGCCATGAGAGTAAAATGGTCTAAAAAAGTGACATATTTTAGTAACTGAATACATGCTCTGGTGAAGAAGCAGCAGCTCTGGTGGCACAGTGATTAAGGCATTTGGCTGCTAACCAAAAGGCTGGTGGTTCGATCCTCCCAGGTGCTCTGTGGGAGAACAATGAGGCAGACTGCTTCCAAAAAGATTTATAGCCTTGGCAGCCTTAATGGGGCAGTTCTACTCTGTCCTGTAGGGTTGCTATGAGTCAGAGTCAACTTGATGGCAGTGGGTTTATATAAATGACTAGTTCTGTGCATATGGTATAATTAAAGGTTTAAAAGGGTTACGTAAGTTTTTTGATCATGCAGTGCTTTGTTTGGTGGGGACTGCATGGACCTCATATCCTTAACCTTGAGATAATCGTACCACTTGAGATTACAGCAGTCATCATCATCTGATGTCATTTTTCTCTCTTACTCTAGAAGGAGGGAGGTGACGAAGTATGTTTTAGTTTTAGACTCCCGCTTGGGTGCCACTGGCTTCGCTTTACTGTCACTGGCTTTCCTCATCAAAGACACAGAGAGAGAGAGATTGAGAGAGAGATGCACGCACTGTTTAGCACTGTGGTGAAATGTAACAGGGAGATAATCTAAAACCCATTGCTGTTGAGTTTATTTGACCCATAGCCCCCCCCCCCCAATAGGACAGAATATAACTGCCCCATAGAGTTTCCTAGGCTATAATCTTTATGGAAGCAGACTGCCACATCTTTCTCCCATGGAGCAGGAATGGGAAATGTGTATTCCTTAAATACACACCAGTTTAGGTTTGGTTTGCCAGTGCAATAATCTACCAGCAATTCCTAAGGGTTAATCCGTATTCATATTCTAAAATATTCAAGCCTATCAAAAGAATATATACATTAAGTATTACCTTTAGTAACTTATTAGAGGGGGTAGGCAGTATATTACTGTGTTTATTTCTGATTTATGATATATGTGTCTTATGTAATGATAAAATACAGGACTTTTGTTTTTGTTTTAGGTATGTTATCTTTGGTGATAAGCTCCAAATGTTTCTTTAAAAAATATTTTTAAAGGTAGCTTTTCTGAAAAATAGATGTTCTGAAAATGAATTAACCAGATTTTAGCTTTATGATATGAGTATGTAATGTCAACTCCAAGGAAGTCCAAGGGTGGTACAGTGGTTAAGCACTCAGCTATTAACCAGAAGGTTGGCAGTTCAAATCCACCAGCTGCTCCATGGGAGAGAAGACCTGGCAAACTGCTCCCATAAAGGTTACAGCCTAGGAAACCCTGTGGGGCAGTCCTCTCTCCTATGCAGGCTCTATGAGTCAGGATTGACTCCATGGCACAGAACAACAGCAATGTAAACTCCAACAGCTATATTTAATTATGTTCTACTGAAAGGATTTTGTATTCAAATATCTGCAGACTTTTTATCGCACTTGTCAAAGTTTCAATCAAAATAGGACAGAAACGAACATATATTATGTCAAGTAGCATTCTTGATAGACTTGACTTTGGAAATTGATGCAAAACTTTTGTTTACCTTCCTGTAGCTACAATCGACTTGAATTCAGCCAACGATGGCTGGTTTGGCAGCTTGAAGGAGACAATTCAGCATCAGCAAGGAGAAGCAGTTTGGGTCTCTGAAGGAAAGGTATGTGGCTTAAATACTCTGCTATGAGGTGAGAATTTGTGTTCTGAATCTTTTCCAAAGAAGGTAGTGAATGTAGTAAGAACTATGCCCATTTGAAATGGTTTGAGCACATGTATTCATCAAGTTTGACATTTTACAAATTCTTTAAAAAAGTAGTAAAAAGTTAAAGGACTTCTGAAAAAATAAACAAAAGAACTGCAGAACATGATGTATGAAACCCTGCATTCACTTCCCTTCTACTTTTAACGTAGTAACTAGTGCTGTATCCCAATTACACTAATCAGAGCTTACAAGGTTGCGTGGCGAGCTCCACCACTTACTAAGGACGTGGAAGACAGAGTGGAGAGGAGAGGCGAGGCTGAGGAGCATGGAGGACAAGGCTGAAATTTAATAGAATAAAAGCAAATGGGATTGGTATTATTGGCCTAGAAAAGAGTGGTGGAGGTTTTGAATAAGTGATAAGAAAGTGTTAGGAAACTTGTCTAGGCTTCTAGAATTGGATAGCTTCTCATCTGTGGGGATAGCTTACACATGGCTGTGCTGCAGGGAAGAAAGAGAGAGATTATATAACCTCCCATGGTCCCTTTAATTCTAGGAATCTTTGGTGCTAGTCTCCTGTCCTCCAACTGAATTGAAGTAGCTTATGAGACTTCATGGCTACTATTTTGTTGTTCTGTCGACTTAATGAGATTGTTGAGTTATAGTCTTACTCTTTGGTGTCAGGCCATTTCATCCATCTTTCTAGCGTTTGCGATTGTTAACAGTCTGCTGGGCTTCATGCTAGCCTCCATGACGAGGACAGATTGAACAAGACAGAGCGTCTGTGCTCCAAGTTTTGAGAACTTGTAGCTGAGTGGAGATGTGTCCCATACATGTCAGTGTGTGTTTATCACTAGGAGGCAAGTGCCAGGAGAAAAGTCAGAAAGGAGCCATATTGCAGAAGAAAGGCACAATGTTCTGAGGAAGTTTGACCAAGTAGGAATAGAGAGAGTGGGTAGTAGCCAGGCTAGGGTGGGGAGATCCTAATTTGAGTCCCCGGGTGGTATAAACAGTTAAGCGCTTGATTGTTAATTGAAAGGTTGGCGGTTCAAGCCCACACAGAAGTCCTCAGAAGCAAGCCCTGGTGATCTGCCAAAAGGTCACAGCCTTGAGAACCCTGTGAATCACAGTTCTACTCTGCACGCAAACGCAAACAGGTTGCCAGGGGTTGGAATTGACTGGAGGGCAACTGGTTTGGCTTTTGGTTTTAGCACAAAGATTAACATAATAACGTAAAGCCGAGTGATTGCACTTCAGTCAAGGTGCTTTCCCGTCCTAGCACACGTCAGATTTTGGTCACTTGGCTGTACACTTGGGAATTTTCGTGAGTCCCCACTCCCAGGAGCCATGTCAGACCCCACTGACCCTGCGAAACAAATTCCTCTAGATGGAAGGGATGGATGATGACCCCGAAGACCGCATGTCCTACTTAACCGCCATGGGCGCGGATTATCTGAGTTGCGACAGCCGTCTCATCAGTGACTTTGAAGACACCGACGGTGAAGGAGGTGCCTACACTGACAATGAGCTGGATGAGCCAGCCGAGGAGCTGCTGGTGTCTTCCATCACCCGCTCCTCGGAGCCGGTGCAGCACGAGGAGGTGAGGCGAGGCAGGCCACGGGCTGCGAGGTCCAACCAGCAGGAAAAGGAGGTTCTGGCATTTCCTTTCATTCTTCCAGATAACCGTTTATTCAGGGTGCTGTGGAGGGTATTCTTAAGGGCTGGAGCAGATGATTCCCAGGGTGTCTTACTCTGAGCCAGTGCCTGTGTCATTGTGGTTGTGGTCCTTGGGCAAGCGGGACAGGAACGTGGGTACTGGAGGAGGGTGAGTGGTAGACACTCTTCACACAGACACCCTCAGGCATGATAGATAAACCAAATTGCCTCATGTGCCAGCCGTCTACAAGTGGAACATGCTTTTTAAAATACAATATTATTGTATTTACTTGTAACCTTTGATTAGGTTGCTCTCTCTCTCTCTCTGTACTCTTTGGTATCCTTGCTTTTTTCTCCACCCTACCTTTAACCTTTCTAATCTTGCCAAAGCTCCTGAGTGTTTCCCCATCAGTTTCCTTCTCTCTCTTATTCCAATTTTTTAAATTGAGTTTATGATCAAATATACATTTATGCATGTCTGTTGTGTGTTCACTGGCCTTGAATAGATGACCTACGTGGTCTTCAGAAACTGCATCATCAGATGCTAATTTTGGGCCAGAGCAATTATTAGTTGCACCTCAGAGAACATGGAATCACCATCTTTGTAAGTGAGATTATCATCTATTTGGGTCGTTATTACTGGGGACTTCCCTTTAGCAATCTGGTCCATTTCAGTGAATGATTATGTTCTTCATGAAGTAAAGGTAGTACCCCAAAACTCATTTAAGGGAAAAGACCTTTACCAGTTCCCTTCGGAAAAAAAAGAACCCTCAGAAGAACTACTAGTATGGACTGCTGGACAAGTTCTAAAAATAAATTTAACTCCTCAATGTCCGCAGTTGTAGATGAGTTAATGTTTAGAAATGTTAATAGTTATTAGTGACAAAAGACTTGAAGAGGACTTTTTAAAAAATTGTACTTTAAAGAAAGAAAGTATTGCATTGGAGGCAGCTGAAGCCAGTGTTAAAAACGTGTGTTAAGCACTTGCTCGTGGGCATATCCCTGGTGTCCGCCTTTCAGGAAAGAGACATGGGGTTAGTACCTCAACTTCTGAACCTGATCCGAGTTAGCAGAACCGCAGCACAGCAGGTGAATCTGCACGGGCGTTCTTGTTGTAAATGAATCTTTGTCTCATAGAGCATAAGGAGGCCCAGCCCAGAGCCACGAGCTCATGTGAAGAGGGCTGCTAGCAGAGACCAACTTAGGGACAGTAGCCCGCCCCCGACATTCAAGCCAGAGCCGCCCAAGGTACGTGGCTGGGAAGCCCAGGATGGGAAGGAAAAGGAGGCAGGTGCCAAGGAGGGGCATGCAGTGAAGTGGCGTGCTGAGGTCTGTTTATTTGACTCACCATGTTCTCTAGTAGAGCCCGTCCTTTGGGCTGTTGGGTGAACCCTAGTGTTGGAGAAAGGAGAAAAGATTAGGAGCAGAAGGCATTTTTAAGAGCATGTACAAATGGGTCTATTAGACTCTATTTCTTTTTTATACACAGAATACAAGTTTGACATACAGTGCATGCCCGGAATCACTAGTCTCAGAATTTGCTTTTCATTTTCTCTCTAATTAGTATTTTCTTACCAACATCTGATTATATGTACCAGAATCCTTCCTGGTGATTTCCTAAAGAAAAGAGTCACCTTTTTTTTTTTTTTTTTTTTTACGATGACTCTTATTATGAAAGCAGCTTAGATTGTTTTGTTCTGTTTTAATTTTATTATAAAAGTATGTAATATTTGCCACATGAATTCACAGTGCTGTGGTGATGGTCTATACCACCACCACTGTGTCCTGTTTCCCTCCTCTCTGAATCAAAGCTGTGACTTGGCATTTAACTTATAGTCCAATATAATATCCCTCTTTAACTCAATAATTTAGATAAGAAAAAAGTCGTAATTAATTGTGTGAGCTATCAGAAGTAATTAGTGACCTCATAAAATATATCTGCAGTGAAAGTTTCCAAACAGGCCTAGGATAAGAAAGGGCGAGGAGGAAGCGGTCACTGTGTGGTCGGTTGCCTTTCCCCAGAGACTTGCTTCCCTCCTGGGCTGTGCACCATCAGGGCGGCACCAACTCAGGACCGCACTCTTCTGATCCGTGAGACCTGACTTGTTCTAAGGACCTCTCCAAGATTCCAGTCCCCTCTAGTATAAGGTTATTCAAGGTCTGACTGAGCTTCAGAGATTACAGTCCCTCCAGCCTTTCCCCTGCCTCTTGTTTTTTAGAGCTCTTAACAGTCTTCCTTAGGAAGGGAAGTAGGACTTGGGGTGTCGCACCACTGGAACACCATGCCGTGTTTGATTCCTTGTTGGAATGGTATTTGTAATTTGTCGATCACCTTTGGAAACTGATCAGGAAATGGAGTATATTAAATCACTAATAGAGACTTGAAAATCACTGAAAGCCTGATATAAAAAATATGTCATTGCTTTCTGCAGGCCAGAGCCCAGAGCAGAGAAGAATCCTCCGACTTCCCCAAATCCCACTTCTCTGCCGTGGCCTCTAATGAAATTCCTGTGGCATCTACCAAAGGTTATCCTCCTCCTGTGGCAGCAAAACCTGTCTTTGGACGGTCTATACTGAAGCCATCTACTCCCGTCCCTGCCCCAGAGAATGAGGAGATGGGAGAGGGTGGTGAGGAGCAAGAAAACACTCCCAAGTCTGTCCTGGGCAAAGTCAAAATATTTGAGAAGATGGATCACAAGGCAAGATTACAGAGAATGCAAGAACTCCAAGAAGCTCAAAATGCAAGGGTAAGTTTTTAAAATTAATTTTTAGAAAGGTTGTTGTAGTGAAATATGTATAATAAAAATTTGCCATTTTAACCGTTTTTAAGTGTATAATCCAGTGACATTAATTACATTCACCACGTCATGCAACTATCACTGTTACCTCTTTCTAAAAGATTTTCATGACCCCAAACAATACTGCTTAAAATTCTCCATTCCTCCTTTCCCTAGAAAGGTAATTATTTTTGAACCATGAGATTAATTTAGTCTGTAGACAATAAAAAGTTTAAATAATAAATTTAAGTAAATAAATTTGATTTCAGTATAACAGTTCACAGTCCTTGGGTAACACAATGGTGACACAATGGTTAAGGTTGATGATTTGAATTCACTCAGAGGAAGAAAGACCTGGTTGGTCCTCTTTCTGAAAAGTAACAGCTTTGAAAACCCTGTGGAGCAGTTGAGGTCACCAGGAGTCAGAATGGACTTGATAGCAACTGGTTATAATAGTTTTTCTGGTTATAATAGTTCACAAGTACCTTTTCCACCCCTCAACACCCAAGGGATGTTCACACAGATGATACCAAAGGTGCATCCTGTGTGTGTTATTTCCAGGTGGCTAGCTATCGTATATCCCTTTCTCTTCCAATCAAGAAAGCCTACCAATATAACTGAATAAGATTCTTTTTCTCACGCTTCAGAACTTTATATCAACTTCTGAAATGGGGAAGTGTGTCAAGAGAATCCTAGAAGTTAATTTTCTTGCATGTGATGTCCCTGGACAGTATAAATAGTTGAGTGTTCAGCTGCTGAGTGGAAGGTTGGAGGTTTGAGTCCAACCGTGGAAGCCTCCAAAGACAGCTTTCCTTTCAGCCATTGAAAACCCTGTGGAGCGCAGTTCTACTTTGTCACACAAGGGGTCACCATGGTCAGAATTGACTCAGTGGCACCTGGTTGGTTAATATTTATTTGGTAACTGAGTTCTGGATTTACCATGCAGAACAGTCAAATCTGGGGTGCTACAATGAATTGTAGTCTCTAAATTACGCTTGTTACATACTGTTTGAATTTTCGTGCCATGTGTACATACATCACTTGTGTGTGTGTGTGTAGGGGTGTGTTGTGTACATTTAACCTTAAGGAAAGGTCTAAGGAACATACTCTGCCCAGGAGATGTGGCTGTTTTCTTTATCCTTGCCCACTCAACAGCAGCCAGCTTCTGAGCATTTTTTCCTGTTTTACATGTGGTACCAGGAGCCACACAACCATAAGATTTGCTTCATTTTCTTCTCTTCTTGAAAGAAGTCTTGGATTGAAAAAGAAGTAGATGGTCACAGCCAGCTACCCAGAGGGACCGAGTAGTTGATCCTGCGGGCTTGGGACCATAGTCGCAGGGGACATCAAGCTCAATTGGCATAACATACTATACAAAACATTGTTCCACCTACTACTTTGGCGAGTAGCAACTGGGACCTTAAAAGCTAGGAAGCTGCCATCTAGATGCAACAACGGGTCTCTCCTCGTCAAGAAGAAAGAAGAAAACCAAAATTAATGGAAACAATCAGTCCTAGCGACTGGTACACCATCCGATCTGCAACCTATACAACTATGAGACCAGAAGAACTAGATGGTGCCCAGCTACCACTGCCATCCACTTGGAAGGGATGTAGGAGATCCTGCATAAAGAGGGAGAACAATGTGGTACAAAACTCAAAATCATTTGGAGGCAAAAAAAAAAAAGAAGGTGGGGACCAGGTTTGCTGGTCCAATGGAGCCTGGTGTAACCACTGAGACTATGGCTCCTAGCTGCCCTTCAGGTCTGGAATTGAACCCCCAACTGTGGTTTCCAGCCAAACAAAGTACAGGCATGTGAGTTAAACATTTACCTCAAGTAGACACACGCCCTGGAGAGAACAATCATGGGAGAAGGAAGGGCTGCTTATGCACAGGGAGATAGCTCAGGGTGCAGAAGAGTATGAAGGGATGGACACTGGGAGGAGGTAACTATGGGGAGGAAGTGGGAGGGGAGCTTCTGCATTGTAAATTTTGGTCAATGACATGAGACAAAGTATATGTGAACTGCTGTATGAAAAGTGAATTTACTCTGTAAATCTTCACCCAAATCCTAATTAAAAAAAAAAAAAAAGAAAAGAAAAAGAAGTAGAATATGAGAAAAGAGTAGCAGTAGCAGGAACCAACAACAACAACCAAACTCTCCAGTGGTTCATTCTTCCCTTTTGTTCCTTTTTTCACAATTGCCACAGATTGAAATTGCGCAGAAGCTTCCTGACATCTATGCAGTCCCAATCAAAACACAAAAGCCAGACCCTGGCCTGTCGCAGCACACAAGGTAAGGGCTGATGGCGCAGGTCTAAAGCTTCCGATAGGCTAGAGGGGGCTTCTCTGAGACTCCAACTCTGTTTGTCTCTGTGTTTTATTATGGTAAAATATATATACATAACAAAACACTTGCCAATTCAGCATTTTTTTACATGTACAATTCAGTGACATTGGTTATGTTCATCGGGTTGTATAACTGTCACCTCTATCCATTTCTGAATCGTTCCATACAGGGTTTCCTAAGCAAAGACTACACCCTGCCACCACCACGAATCGTCTCTGGTCTCCATACATTTGCCTGTTTCATTTAAGTGGGATCATACTTGTTCTTTTGTGTCTGAATTTATTTCACTCAGCATAATGTTTTCAGGATTCCTCCATGTTGTAGCAGAAACATGTAGCATAATGAGCTTCATACCTCATTATGGCTGAGTAAAAGTCCATTGTACGTATAAACCACATTTTGTTTATCCGTGCATCCGTTGATGGACATTTAGGTTGTTTCCACTGATTAGCTATTGTGAATAGTGCTGCAATGAATATTGGTGTACAAAGGGACTTGGAGTCTTGAGAAGGTATCTCCTTCACCCACATTTCAGAGCAACAAAAGGCTGTTTTTCCCTGGTCATCTGTTCACCTTACTCATGTATCACATTTAATGGTAAAGGTTACAAAAAGTTGAACATTTATGGAAATTTTGCTTGTGTGCTAAAATTTTCTGACAGAGTGTAATCATTGCCATTTTGGCTCAGTACTAACAGTATATCAAACCATGTTAGAACAGTGCATGAGGATAATTTCTGGGCTTAGACCTGCTTTGCGTTAATGTGTTCTGGCTCTTAGCCAAGCTCCTGAATTCCTTTGCATCACTTTGCAAAGTCAGAATGCTTGTACTGAATTGTGGTATGAAGAAAATTGTGACAATTAATTATCCAGTGTTGGTAAAATGCTTTATATTTAAGATACTATATACCCCCTGTCATCAAATTGATTCTGACTCATAGTGACCCTATAGGATCGAGTAGAACTGCCCCATAGTGTTATCTAAGGCTGTAAATCTTTACCGAAGCAGACTGCCTCATCTTTTTCCCGTGGAGTGGCTGGTGGGTTCGAGCCACTGACCTTTTTGGTTAGCAGCCAGATGTTTTAACCACTGTACCACCAGAGTGCCAAAGATGATATTAAGTGCTAGGAATGATCATAGTGTCTTCTGCTTGAGGTTTTACTGGCTTGTTTCTTGCTTCTGAGAAGAGAAAACAATTAGTCATGCTCTCTTGCAGCCATCCTGACTGGACGCTAGAGCTTTATTGCAATAGAAACCTAAAGGCGAATTTCTTTTTTTATCAGTTGAAGGGTAGCACAGGCGAGTAGGTTGCCTCTGGCAACAAAAGAGTGGCTTGATATGTAGTTGGTAGAACTGGCAGAGAATGAGTGCTGCTGGCTGAGGCTGTAGCCTGGGAACTTAGGGATAGGGAAGACAACCCCCCTCTCCTGTCCATCTGGGACAAAGGGAATTCTTTGGTTAAGAAGCACCAGGTCAGCTTCCTTCCTTCCTGCCAACATGGGCATTGGCCGTGGCCCTGTTCTCCCATCCCCCACTCCCACTATTATGTGAACCTGGAGTGGTTTATCAGCAGGGCGTATGGCTGAGAGGTAAGTGATCTGCCTTGGGTGATCCAGGGACAGGGACGTGCTCTGGAAACATTTAACACTCTCACTTTGTTAGTTCCAGACCCCCTGAGCCACAGAAAGGTCCTTCCATACTTTATCAGGACACCAGAGGAGGTTACAGCAGTGACGCCGAGGAGGAGGAATACCGCCAACAGCTGTCAGAGCATTCAAAGCGCGGTTACTATGGCCAGCCTGCCCGCTACCGGGACACGGAATTATAGATGTCTCTCCATGCCCAATGGCCGCCACATCAGGATAACACCCCTGCTGAGTCACAGGGATGGTTCTTGTCTAGTTAAAATGACTGTGGAGATGTGGTGGGACCCGAGGTCGTGTCCTGTCATGGGGAACCCAGGACACAGCCAGTGCGAATTAAGAACAGAGGCTCTATTTGTGGGACAGGGTTGGGGGGTTTGGCTTTTTGCTCAAAATTGGAAGGAACACTACAGTCTGATACTGTTACCTGCTTCAGTGGACCAAAATCTGTATTAATTCCGTTTCCATGTTTTTAACATGTCTATTAAGAAGTAATAGCTATTTTGCCTCATTAGTAGCTGTCTACCAGGAGTGTCTCACTATGAGGCAGAATATGAAAAAAGGAATAAAAAAATACTGTTGGACTTGAACTAAATTCCAAGAACTATTTTATTACAACTCTCTAAGTGCCTTTAATGAGAAGTGACTTAAACTTCCTTTCTCTGAAGCTTTATGCAAAGCTGTAATGGACTAAAACATTATTTTGACTAATTTTTTATACCAGTTTAATAGCTACAGTTTTCCCTGCACTGTACCATCTTTTCAAGGCCTTTGTCTTTGTAATGTTTTCATGAATTCTGAGTGTATGTATAATGCTTATATTTGATAATCTGGCTATGAATGGTAATAAGCAGGTTAAAGACCAAGAAGTTGATATAGAAATTGTTGGTTTGTTTGTATAAAACCATGTGCTCCCGAAAAATAAACACTCATGAAAAGCACATTTCATTTCCAAAAGTGTGTCTACTGGTAAAAGTTAGTCTTATAATTTAATAAAAAGGAGTATGTTGCAATCAATAACTTGCTGTGTGGTAGACTTTATACTAATTCATATTTTTAAGTGTAAGTTTTATTTCTGTCGTTGATCATAAAATAGACACTCTCATTGTTGAACATTGGAAAATATAGGCACATATGAAGAAAATAAAAATTACTCATAATCTCATTGTGCAAATTATTTGGATGCATCTTCTCCAGTTACATATATATGAGTGTCATGGATTGAACTGTGTCCCCAGAAATATGTGTCAGCTTGACTGGGCCCTGATTCTCAGTGGTTTGGCTGTTGTGTAATGGTGTCATTTGGCAATTATGTGATGATGTCATCATTCCCCATAATGGGAGCTGATGTGACCAGCCAACCAGGTGTGAGGGGGATTAGGGTGGGATACAACACCCTTACTTGGGTCACAGCCCTGATCTGATGTAAGGGAGTTTCCCTGGGGTGAGGCCTATATCACCTTTTATCTTACAAGAAGACCCGGGAATGGAGTCTTTCCTTTGGACTCTGTGTTGAGAACTCCTGGACCCACAGGCGTTGAAAGCGAAACAAGGGACCTTCCCATAAAGCCAACAGAAAGAAAGCCTTCCCCTAGACCTGGTATTCTGAGTTCAGACTTCTGGCCTCCTAAGTGGTGAGAGAATACATTTCTGTTAAAGCCATCCACTTGTGTATTTCTGCCACAGCAGCACTGGATTACTAACACAGTGGGTGTCTATGTGTGTGTTTTAGGGTCTCTGGGTGGCATAAACAGTTCTCTGCTTGGCTGCTAACCAAAACATTGTCTGTTTAAATCTGCCCAGAGACACTTCAGAAAAAAGGTGTGGCAATCTACTTGAGAAAAACCAGCCATTGAAAATCCTTCGGAGCACCGTTCTATGCTGAGATACATGTGGTCGCCATGAGTTGGCATCAACTCGTTGGCAACTGGTGGTGGTGGTGTCTTATCCTGGAGGCTATACTGTGTGTACAATTCTGTGTCCTACTTTTTCTGTTTGGCCTGTTTACCATCCTGTCCTGAGAGTTTCTCTCCATGCATGCATCATTAACTAGTAACTACAGGATAATGGATGACTGCTTTCATAGGTGAGCAGCTCCCCGATGGTTGACTATTTGGATTATTTCCATTTTTTTTGCCTGTTTTCCATGGAATGAACCTTGTTGTATACAATACATTTTTATACACCAATGGTCAGCATTTCTAATCCCTTTCTGCAGTTAAGTTCTCAGAAATAGAATCCTGTGTAAAAGCATAGGACCATCTTTAAGGCTCTTGATGTTTATTGCCAAATTGCTTCCTAGAAATGTTGCATCAGTTTACACTCCCACAGTCACTCTTTAAAGGCTAAATTATGCTTAGACTTTAAATAAAAGGGCCTAGGAATTTAGACTTGTCTGAATCATGAGTGTATTGAATTTGGGCGAGGAGGAGAAAAGGTCTTGCATTCAATTAAGGATCTTACCTGTGATGCTGTAACAGAAATACCACAAGTGGATGGCTTTGACAAACAAGATCATCTTCTCACCGTTCAGGAGGCTAGAATTCAGGGTGCCGGCTCCTGAGGAAGGCGTGCTGTCCCTGTTGGCTCTGGGGGAGGATCCTTGTCTCTTCTGAGCTTCTGCTCCTGAGTGATCTTAAGGCGGCTTAACATCCTTCTTCCTCCATCTCTGCTTGCTTGCTTGTCCTGTTGTTGTTATGTGCCGTCAAGTTGGACCCAACTCATAGCGACCCCTCCTTGGGTGTCTGAGGCAGTATCACTACGGAAGTAGATTGCCCCATCTTCCTTCCGAGGAGTGGCTAGTGGGTTTGAACCGCAGCCTTCTAGTTAGCAGTCAAGTGCCTTAGGTACTATGCTACCAGAGCTCCTTAATATCCTCTGTATCTCGTAAGAGATTGGCTCAAGTGGGCCCTGGTGGCACAGTGGTTAAAGCGCTCTGGTTCAAACTGAAAGATTGGCGGTTCAGATCCACCAGCCGCTTGGTGGGAAAAAGATGTTTCCATAAAGATTTACAGTCTTGGAAAGTCTATGGGAGCAATTCAGCTCTATCCTGTAGTCCCATAGGGTCCCTATGAATCAGGATAGACTCAGTGGGAAGAACCAAAAACCAAACTCAGTGGGAAGAGAGAGACTCAAAACACACTAATCCTATCATCAACATAACAAAGACCATTTGTTTATAGGTGGGATTATACCCATTGGCATAGAGGTTAGGATTTATAATTCATATTTTTTGGGAACACAGCTGAACATAAGAGGGTCATTTGTAATATGAATTGACACAAAGGTGTTTTAGTCTAGTTAGAAGTTGGGCTTCCTCTTCACTGAGTAGTGAGTAATATAAATTTGTCCTTGCTGTGCCTCCTTATTGAAATCTGGGTGTTGTAGTGAATCCCTTAGTGCAGTGCCTTTGATTACTGAGCAAGGTTTGAAATCTATCCCTAAGTAAAAACCACCAGTTGTGGATGAGAGGATACACATACCCTGTGATGTAATCTGTGATGCTTCTCTTTGCTTCTTGTGTCCCTTAAATACAGGCAAGAGCCCTTTTATAGACATGGGAGTGGAGGGAGGGGGCTTTTCAGGAGGAGCTGGGAGGTGACCTGGCTCCAACACTCTCTTGATGCATGAAATGGTGCAGACAGGCAGGGCCTCTGTTCCTGTGGTTCAGACCTACCCAGGTGCCTCGGAAGTGAGGCCTGGCAGTCTTCTTCCCCAAAGTCACAACCTTGAAGGCTCTCTGGTGCACCCATGGGTTTGCCATGAGTTAGGATCGACCCAATGGCAGACAACAATATATGTGGAGTATAATGAAGTGTTTTAGTTTCCTAGGGCTGTTGTTGTTGTTGTTATGTGCCGTCGAGTCAGCCCTGACTCCTAGCGACCCCTCCTTGGGTTTCCGAGGCAGTATCACTACGGAAGTAGGATTGCCCAACCTTCCTTCCGAGGAGTGGCTGGTGGGTTTGAACCGCCAGCCTTCTGGTTAGCAGTCAAGTGCCTTAGCCCACTACGCTACCACAAACTGGGTGGCTTTAAGCAATAGAAATATATTCCTGCACAGTTCTAGAGGCTGGGAGTTGGAAATCAGGGGGTTGGTAGGGCCATTCTTTCTAAAGGAGAATCCCTTCCATGCTTTCTCTAAGCAATTCTGGGCATTCCTTGACTTTCCACTCCAATCTTTGCCTCCATTGTCACATGGCATTTTCCCTGTGTAGTCTGTGTGTCTCTTGTCTTATAAGGATACCAGTCATTTGATTAGGGCTTACCCTACTCCAGTATGATCTCAACTAACTACATCTGCAATGTCCCTATTTTCATTCACAGGTACAGGGGTTAGCATGTATGTCTTTTTTGGGAACATAGTTCCACCCATAACAATCTACCCTCTGCTTCTTCCCAAATTAATGCCCTTCCTGTATGCAAAATATATTCACTGACTCCCAACATCCCTAAAAGCCATCAACTCTTAAGTAGAAAAAAAAAATCTCATCTTACTATAGTCAATTCAAGAAGTCCCAAATCTCATCTTCCAGATAGTTATGGATGACACTCTCCCTTGCGGGCCAAGGTGACATCAGCAGCCATGGGGTTCTGAGGTCCACCATCTCCAGGGATCACAGGTACAGGGCGTTAGGACTTGAACATACAGCTTTTCTGGGGACACAATTTAACACAAAACACTAAGGAAAAAAAACACTAAGCAAATGAGGAAAGGGCAGGGAAACATCAGAGTAGGGAAGATAAGGCTGTAAGGGAGGGTAGTGTTCACTGTGCAGGCTGTCCCGGCTCTTCCACTTTCTGGACGCTGGATACAGGATGTGATTCCGAGTCCATAAGGTGGGAAAGTTGTTTAGGAATTCCCTCTCCTCCCCTATTACTTATAATTTCCTGTGGGGTCTCATGTTGCATAACGACAGCTGTGAGCATGCCAGGTGACTTCAGAGGTCTGCTTTCTTACTATGTTCTTTCACATAAGATACTAGCTCAATTCCAAGGGCTAGTCAGTAAAAGTTCTAGAGAAAGGACCAAGAGAGGCTGTGTAGAAACATCACTGGAGTCTGGCTTAATCCAGTGATCGATTCTAGAGCATCTAAGCTGACATCTCCCAAATAGGAAATGGTCTTTGTGATGCCTGAAAGTAAATAGATGTCATTCATCTTTCTGGAAAACAATTTTACCCAAAGAT